AAAAAAAGGGTTGAACCTGCATGTATATTTTAGAATGATTTACGAGTTGCATGTGTTATAGCTATATAACATCGAATAGTTTAATTGCACATATTACAGCTATTATTATGCCAATATTTAATTTATTTATAAAAATACATACGAACAATGCATGTGAGACAAATAAACAAGCGCGTATTAAAGCTTACTCTTTAATTATTGGTTGAATATCAGCAATATGCGAAGACATGCAATACTGCATATATTGTACATAGACCCATATACAGGTATAATACGTCTATCAATGCTGTACGCAACATGTTATAAACAATGTATATAAACAAAAATGAAATACTCGTCTCTATATATTATATATAAAACAAAAACAAATTGCCTTCTCTTTGGTTGCGCAACAATGCAAAATTAAATATAAAATAGTATAGAACAATAAGTCGTGTTTAAATCGAAAAGCAGTATATATACTCACACAATACCAGAAGTTACTGCAGGCATGCAGTAACATTATAACAACGTTATTACGTTATAATAACATTGTTACAATGTTACTGTAAGCTTCTGTGTTGTTTGGGTAAATATAACGAAGGATACATATAAAACAAAAATTACCTTCTTTGGTCATACAAAATATGCAAAGTGATACATAAAATAAAATAGAAATATAGAACAAAAATTACGTTTAAATAGGAAAGCAGAAACTGTTTGAGTACTAAATGTAATAAATTACAAGGTGAGTACGTCAAAAGTGTTACAACTGTTTACCATACGAGTAGTCGGTACGCAGTGTTGTCTGCGCCGCGCATAGATATTACAATTGCATACTGGCCTCTCGTGTGCTAAACGGTTATTACCCTTTATTAACGTACTCACGTTGTACATGTATAAAGTAAAAACATAAAATGTATCTGCTTTCGTAGTACAACAAACGAAAAATGTGCGAATGAACATATATAGGACCTGTGTTATTTATCATCATGAGATTCCTTTTCTCCTTCTTTTAGCCTTGCAATACGCACAGACGCTTGTGCTAACCATTTAGATACATATTCTGCAATATCTTTATCTGTTGTTGCGGTATAGGATATACGAATAGCTTCTGAAATATATATTACTATTAGTAATCACAGTTTAGTGTACAGTGTTCTAAACAAAAACAGATACACCGAAATAAATAAATTTGTGTGCTTATTGTCAGTATTAAATTGTATACCATTGCCCGGTGAGGAAGGATTAATTAACAGGAAGATATCAAGAGCAACTAAATGTAGCGAGCAACTAAATCTACAATTACGACTCATTTTTGTTATGACACGCTGTGTTATCTGGATTATATAGTGTGTGCACACACTTCTCTGTAATGTATAAATTGATTGCAAATGTTATAACAAAATAAGATTATAAAATACTTACGTATAATAAGTTTTGTAACTTCTAAGTCCTTGAAACATCTCTTATTTTTCCTGCCATTCCAATTAAATTGTGTAACTAAAGTATCTGCAATTGCTGTTTTTAATACATTTCGTAGCATGACATGCACATTATGTCCTCCAATGAGTTGAAATGTGTGAAGCTGAAAGAAATTGTCAATTTAATAAATAAATTACATTTAGGTGGATATATCTCTATGTATACTACTAGCCAAAAGTTTGAAAACTATAAAAATTGTATAATACGCATAAAAAATATCATACCACATCTTCCTTGAATGTTACGTCTTGCAATTGTTCTTTAAACAATGTTAACTGTGATAATGTACGTATCGGTAATCGAATGTCGCTTCTTTGTTCATTGTATGTTTTATTTGCAGATTGTAACTTCGCCGTGCATATATCGACCTTATTTTCAATGCTATCTAATTTATATAATATTCTATTTAATTTGCTAAACATTGCTGTCTTCGATTCTGAAATAATATGATGTGACGTAGTTTAAAAACCCAAGTAGAACATATTGGTCATGAAAACATCAAGATGACATCATTTTTCGATCATTTTTTATGCATCATGGTGACGTCAAAATAGCCCACCGAGAGCACCTATTTGTGACATCATTAAGACATCGAAATGTTGTAAAGTTAATCTCGTTTTACCAAGCAAAATTAATTAAGTATTATACATCAAAAATAAATCGAAGTAATATAAGACAAACATAATATATGACTGATCATGTAATCTGTAATAATATATTATTATACACGTCACGAATATCATGGTCATTAGTCAGTCATTGCGAAGTAAATCTTGATGTCGATCATTTTATGACGTAAAATTCGTCATTTTAATGTCACATTTTTGTGATTAACTTGTTCTACTTGGGAATATCACTATACTGTGTTTATTGTTACATATTATGCTGTAAATATGTTTTACAAGTTACTTTAATTTACGAAACATATTTACATCAGTACAGAGGACATGATCTTCAATAGGTGAGACTGTAGTTTGTGTAAACGATTTGTTACCATTTTTTTTAACACTTGTCTTGTTCTTACTATTATCTAAATAATACCAAAATATTTCCATAAACATAATGTATAATATAACAAAATGCTCTTTACATTACCTCTGCCATTATTAAATAACGCGTTCTCGAATATATTGCTGGTATCTTCTTCAGATGTCCTCAATATCTCATGACATTTTGTCGATACAAACTGTTGTTTTTTGGGAAGAACAGGCAGTTTGTATCGAGTATCATTTTCTTTATCAGAATATGATTCATCTCCAGAAGATGATAAACGTCTTTTGGCTTTTTTACGCCTTCTCTGTTTTTCGCGTTCTCGTATTTCAATACCCGTTTCATCAACATTTGATGTATCTTCTGCAAGACATAATTTCTGCAAACCTTTTGCATAATTACCTAAAAAATGTAAAACAAATTATACATGTAAAAATTATCCACATTACTAATAATAAATTATGAATAACATTATGTACTCACTTGCCGTGCCGAAAACTTTATTTACTGGCAGCTCCTCCCAATCGGTGTGTTCTTTAGGAACCTCTCTTGTCATTATAGCTTTATTTATACGTTGTTTTGTCTTTAAATGGCTAGGCCAAATACTTGTAGACGTATCGCCGTTGAACCATAATGCAGGGATCAACTGAAGGCCGTCTTTAAATTCCGCAACGATATATCTTGTGTCATCCATTTGTGTGTCGCACGAAGCCATGTAGTAACTGCATTATTTCTTATTTTAAGGAATATGTATATGTAACGTACACAATTATACAGGGTGTACTAAAACCACCGGAGGTCCTCTTAATGACAGATTCCTTAGAACATTTCTAGACGAAAATCCTAATACAAAAGTGTCGAGGCTATAATAGTTTTTAAATTAGAAGCGATTTTTTTACACAAATGATAGGACTGAAATTTCGCGCGCTCAGGCACGGCGAAATGACAAGTGATATTGTAAATTTATACAATAAACATAACATCATGAAAAGAGCGATATTCATAGGATCACTTATATCACTTGTCATTTCGCCGTGCCTGAGCGCGCGAAATTTCAGCCCTGTCATTTGTGGAAAATAATCGCTTCTAATTTAAAAACTATTATAGCCTCGACACTTTTGTATTAGGATTTTCGTCTGGAAATGTTCTAAGGAATCTGTCATTAAGAGGACCTCCGGTGGTTTTAGTACACCCTGTATATAATGGTGAAGGGGAAAAATTGCAAAAGTGTTATTGTCGTTTGTACAAGGAATTTTCCAAACTTTACATAAGACATCGGTAATTGGTGAAGAAACAATATCATTACATAATTTCATTACTTTAATATCGAAATCGCTGGATTGACATGGTGATTTATATAAATCTTTAATATATTTTAATTGTTTACCGATAAGATAAATTGCGTTATCTTTATTTCGTACAATGTTCATAATCAGAATGCATTTACCATTCTTTAATAGACAATAGTTATTAGATGCGGTTTTACAATTAATATTCAATCTTCCCTTTATTATTATCGTATGATACTGTGATTCAACATCCATGTTATTAAGTATGGGACCATTGTTATGCAAATATTTACAAGAATATGTCTCATTATTTTGATCATATTCTGCACGAAAGACATTATTATTTGCAATCTCATTATAACGTCTCACCAATTGTTGCAATGGTTTTTCTTGTTTGCGTAATCGTCTCTTAATAAATGTCATATAATTCTCAAAACGAATCCATTTCCCCGCTCCGAAGATTGCCTGACACAGCTAGCGAATAAAAGGGTATTTACACTGCTAGATTTACGTGACGGATTCCACCAGATAGCGGTAAATAGTAACTCGACAAAGTATTTCTCGTTCGCGACGCCAGACGGGCAATTTGAATATATAAAACTACCTTTCGGGTACTCGGAAGCACCCGCAGAATTTCAGAAGAGAATCAAGCAAATCTTAGAACCCTTGATAAGAACAGACAAAATAATAGTATTCATAGACGACATATTAATTTCGACGGAAACTGTAGAAGATAACTTGGAAATAATAGAAGAAGTTATTCTCGTATTACGAACTTACGGGTTTGAACTAAATTTCGATAAATGCCGCTTTTTAAGAAAGGAAATAGAATTTCTAGGATATGTAGTCTCACAAAAAGGGGTAACGTTGAGCCCGAGACACACTGCCGCGATAAGAGAGTTTCGACAGCCCAAAACGGTTATAGAAACTCAACGATTTTTGGGGCTAACAAGCTATTTCCGGAAATTCATTAAAAATTTTGCCATTAAAGCTAAACCACTGTACGACTTAATAAAAAAGGGAGTTAACTTCATTTTCGACGACAAAAGTATAGAAGCATTTGAAAGATTGAAAGAAGAACTTATCGTATCCCCAGTATTACAGTTGTATGATCCGGCGGCGGAAACGGAACTCCATACAGACGCTTGCTGTCAAGGCTTAGGAGCAATCCTATTACAAAAACAGAAGGGAAATTTATGGGGACCCGTAGCGTACTTTAGCTAAGCGACAAACAAAGCGGAAACACGCTATCATAGCTTCGAGCTAGAGATGCTAGCTATGGTTCGAGCAGTGGAACGTTTCCACATATATTTGTACGGGATAAATTTCACAATAATAACAGATTGTAACGCGATTGTACGTGCAATAAACAAAGCGAATATAAATCCTCGGATAGCAAGATGGACTCTAGCATTACAGGTATATAATTTTAAAATCACTCACCGGCCAGGGAAGAATATGGCGCACGTAGACGCGCTTAGCCGCTGTACCGGTTATGTTCAGCAACTTCCATTAGAGTGTTCGCGATTCTCTTTTGGGAGAGCTCGCTGGACCGCTGCGGATGGAAGCAGGGCTGAGAGGACTTTTGCGACGAGAGACTCAGGGAACGGATGCACGCGTGGGGGGGGGGGGTGGAATATCACGTGATCGAACACTCTGGACGTTTGAGTAAAATACCGTGTCACCGTTTAATAAGTATAAAATGCTTACAGTTGAGAAGTCTATGAACTAGCGGTGGATGAAAAGTCTTAATTCACTTGCGCGGTTCGATATTATTGATCGAGAGTCGGCCTCGTGAATGTAGATGCCCGTGAGCCGTGTCCACGCGGCGCCGGCGTGCGATGCGTGGTGAGCCTGAGCTGCCGTTGATGCTGTATCTAGAAATGTCCTGGATGATTCGCACTGCTGAGAGTTCACTACGTGTCCGCATTGAGTCTATTCTTCGATGTGAAAATGAGAAAGTCCACAAAAGAGCACTTGATAACTATCCGCACTTCAAGACGCGTGTACTACGTACGGTCGCTATGAGACAAAGAGCGCCGGTAACGTACGTGAAGTCGCGCGGTCGCCTCGCGTCGCGATCGGGCATGCGCGAGCAGCGCTCATGCGGCGCTGCACGATCTGACCCGGCTGATGCTGCCATCACGCCGGGGATGAAATAAACGAGATTCAAATTAATCTCGAACATTCCGCCCGCCATCAGCAACGTTGCTGATGATCCCTGATCTTAAGATGAGATTGGCAGGACGGAGAGCTTGATCACTGGTCGGATGAGTGTGGCAGTGGCTGTCTTCAAAGTCACCACCCGCACGAGTCCATCCTTCCTAGGATGTAGGGCTGATATCCGGGCTGATTTGCATGGTGGTAGACGCTCGTCTGTGATGAGCACCAATGATCCGATCTTGATCTCGTTGTTCCTGTGATGCCACTTTGAGATGGCTTGTTGTCGTTGTAGGTAATGCGATGACCATTGTGTCCAAAACTGTTGTGCCTTTTGCTGGATGAGTTGCTATCGTGAGAGTCTTGAGATTGCCAGGTCAGTGAGTGATGGCTCTGGTTTGGCAGTGAGAGGACTTCCGACGAGGGAGTGACCTGGAGTGAGTGCTGAGATGTCTTCTGAGTCGTCACTCAATGATTAGAGATGTCGCGAGTTGAGAATTGCCTCACTTTGAGTGAGCAATGTGGTGAGCTCCTCAAAGGTGAGCACGCTTTCTCCAATAGTGCGCCGTAGATGATACCTTTGATTTTACGACGGCCTCCCATTTTTCCTCCCATGTGAAGTGTCGCTGGGGGATTGAATTCCCATCGGTTGTTATCTTGCGAGAGCAGGTGAGAAACTCGCTGATGTTCTTGAGTGCTCTGGATAAAGAGCCGTTTGAGAGCCTTATCCGCGCCGATGAAATTGGTGCCGCAGTCTAATTGTAAGGTGTGAGCGATGCCGCGTCTGGATGAGAAGCGTCGATAGGCGGCAATGAACCCTTCGGATGAGTAATCACTAACCGCCCCGAGGTGTACTGCTGAAGTTGAGAAGCAGACAAAAACGTAAATCCAGTCTTTAGTGGTCTTGGCACCTCTTCCTTTCCATGTTTTGACGGCGAGTGGCCCTGCGTAGTCCACACCTGTATGAGTGAACGGTCGTGCCTGCGTAACCCGAGAGAGAGGTAGTTGGCCCATCAATTGATGAGCACGGATCCCCCTCAGCCGAGCACACGTGACACACCGCAGAATGTGAGACTTGACGGGAGCCCTCCCGCCGAGAATCCAGTATTGTTGTCGGATGTGTGACAGCGTAAGCTGCGTGCCTTCATGTAGAGTCCGTTGATGAGCGTGAGCGATGATCAATGATGATAGCTGAGAGTGACGAGGCAATAGTCCAGGATGTGTCGTATCGAGTGAAAGAGCTGCGTGAGCGAGTCGTCCGCCGACGCGAATGACTCCTTGAGCGTCGATGTACGCAGTTAATCTGTTGAATGCGTGTGCCCTTGCCAACGGTGAGTCTGCTTGTTGCGCCTTGAGCTCGTGAGAGAAGTGCGTTGCTTGAGCTGCCTGCATCCAGAAGAGCCTCGCTTTCTCCAAGGTCTCTGGAGAGATGTGTCTGACAGGCAATGAGTCGTGGACTTTCCTCAACCGTGAGACGAATCTGAAATAGAGAGCTGTAATCCTCAATAGTTTAGTGAGGCTTGAGTACCTGTAGATGAGTTCCCATTGATAATCTGTCCTTGGCGTAACCGTCAATAGCGAAACGCCTGGGCGAGCTTCTGTTGCACTCAATTCTTCAGAGAGTGCAGGTTGCGACGGCCATGAGTCTGGTTTGAGTATCCATGGTGGTCCCGTCCACCAAAGCGAGTGGTTTTGAAGTTGAGCAGTCGTGAGGCCTCGTGATGCGCCATCAGCCGGATTGGAAGTTCTAGGTATGTATCTCCAGTGAGCAGCTGGAGTGAGTCCTTCAATTTGAGCAACCCTGTGTCTGACAAAATCCTTCCAGCGTGATGTATGAGATCTGATCCATGAACCTTTCACAGAGGTGATCCATGAAAGTGTCGCTAGAGATTCCGTCCACATATGAGTTGCCGTTACGTCCATGTTCAAAGTGGCTTTGACGTATTGCATGAGTCGAGAGAGCAGTAGAGCAGCCGTGAGTTCAAGTCGCGGGATTGAGAGCCGCTTGAGAGGTGCTACCTTAGTCTTGGAGCACACAAGTGAGAACGTGGCGCCGTTTGAGTCGTGAACGGATATGTATATGACTGCAGCCATTGCCAATTGAGAAGCATCAGAGAATCCATGAAGTTCCACTTGCGAGTCGCTCCACGTGTTGAGCCACCGTAGTATTGAGAGCTTGGCCGAGCTTGTGAGTTCTTCTCTGATGATGAGCCACCGGGCTGAGAGCTGGGATGGCAGTGGATCATCCCATTGGAGCTTGTGCAGCTACAGCTCCTGCTGGTGAATTTTGGCCTTGATCACGACAGGTGATGCAAAACCAAGTGGATCGAGTATCTGAGCCACTTCAGATAAGACGAGGCGTTTTGTGAGTCTGCCTTCAGTGAGTGAGTTCCTGGTTGAGAATGCAAATGTATCTTCTTGAGGGAGCCATTTGAGTCCGAGTATCTTGGTTGCGCAATCGTCGAAGGTGATTTGTGAGCCTTGGTCTTCGTTGTCGGTGACAGTCTTGAGTATGTCGAGATGAGTTGCATGCCATTTTGCCAGTGGGAAGCCGCCCGAGATGCAGAGGCCCTTTAGTTGATGTGCGACCTCCTGCAATTGTTGTATTGTATCTGCACCACCAAATATATCATTGACATACCTGCCGTGAGTGATAACTGGCACAGCCAGTGGGAAACTATGTCCTTCGTCTTCTGTTAATTGTAACAAGGACCGTAAGGCTGAGAATGGTGCGACCTTCGTCCCGTAAGTGACCGTTGTTGAATGATATGGCACCTCATTGAGCTGATTGTCCATCCAGAGTATCCGTTGTAACTCCCAGTCATCCTTGTGAGTCTGAATCTGTCTGTCCATTTTGGTGATGTCCGTAGCGAACATGTGACGATGTCTACGTATCCATGGTAGAACCTCTGAGATGTTCAGATGTAATTTTGCTCCAGTGTACATGAGGTCGTTGACAGAGTAGCCTGATGTGGATGCGCTGGAGCCATTATAAACGAACCGCAGCTTCGTTGTAGTACTGTCAGGTTTGAGAACACCGAGATGTGGCAGGTGAAATTGTGAGCGATGACTGGAGATGAATGATGCCTTCGTCATGTGGTTGAGTGTCTCGTACTCAATCATGAATTGTTGATAGAGACGTTGATCATTCACATCCCTTGAGAATCGTCTGCGTAATCCCTTCAGACATTGATGAGCGACGTTGTAAGAATCACCCAAAAGATCGTCTGGTGAATTGAGTAGAATCCTGACGATGTACCTCTCTGAAGAATCACGAGAGTGTGTAGTATTGAAGTACTTCTCGCACCTCTGCTCGTTAGGAGTGAGCTGAGTGACATCGTGAGTAGGCACCTCCTCTTGATTCCAAAATTTCGTCAATAACTCATTAAGAGCATCCTCGTTGAATTGAGTAGCAGCATGATGCGTTGATGTGCGTCTTGCTTCTCTGTTGACTGGTCCAAGAACGAGCCATCCGAAGATAGAGAGTTGCGCTATCGGCATGAGTGGAGAATGCCTAATGATATTGGGCTTGATGATTTGCCCGTAAGCGTCTGCGCCGATGAGGATGTCAACAGGCAGCGGGATGAGACAGTCTGGATCGGCTAGTGCCAAGGTCCTGAGATGCGGCCATTCTTCCGGTTCCGCCTCGAAAGATGGTAAGATTGATGTAACTGTCCGGAGGACATGAGCTTGAATTGTGGCAGGTGCGTTGGAATGTGTCGAGCGCAACGTGAGCGACACGACTCCTCGTGTTCGAGTACACTCCTTGCCTGCAATTCCATTGACGCCCATACCTGAGTATTGACGAGGGATGTTGAACTGCCGAATGAGATTCTCCGTGACGAAGGTGAGTTCGGATCCTGCGTCCATGAGTAGACGCGCTGAGCGATGAGTGGTGGATGAGCCACGGCTGTGGCGAGTAGAGTTGAGCAGGATAAGCGGACGTGTGAGCTGGTCTAGACGACGGCACCGTCTCTTCAATTTGCGGTCGTGACCAACGAACCACAGGTTGATTGAGCGGACGAAGCTGTCAGTGAGTGGCGGAGTACGCCGATGATGCGTTGCGCGTGCGTGTGGCACAGCGTTTCCTCCTGATGAGCGTTCCCCGAGAAATGCTCGTGATGAGTGAGCGCAGAGGGCCATGAGACCTCGAAGTAGGTGTGTTCCTTGAGAAACGCCTTGTGCGTCTCCTCAGTTTGAAGCCAGAGCTGATTTACCTCTTCAACAGAAGTCTCTGCAGGAGACTCCGGGAGAATTTCTGCGATGGCCTTGAGAGTAGAGATCCGACCCAGCTGCGTCTGCACCTTCAGGGCGAGTTCCGTGGAGAGCCGAATCGGAGACGCCGTCCTCGAGGATAAGCGATCTCCCGGCCGCAGTTCCAGTTGCTGAGTCACCGGGCGGTCCGCCTTGCCCGTTTTATGATCGTCCGACATGGTGAGATGATACGTGAGAGAGCCGTGGTATCGCATGATCGATGAATGTCACTGTGTATATAAGCGCCGAGCGGAGATAATGAAGTCTCTCCACGTTTGTGAGCTGCTCGTTCGAGATGATCAGACTTGAGAAGAGATCTCGAAAGGCAGGCCATGCGACATACTCCCCGGTGAACTTGGGGAGTGAGATGTCCGGCAAGCGTGAGTGTGTCTGTCAGGTCTCGCCGGCCGATGAGAGTTGTCACGCGAGAGGATCGTGAGATCACGTGATCAATGAGTGGAACCGTGTATTTGCGCGCCGCCGATCACGTGATCGCCGTGAGGTTGAGCTAATCCATCCGAGAGCCTCGCCGCAATCCGGCTCGAAGGACCAAAAAATGTTCGCGATTCTCTTTTGGGAGAGCTCGCTGGACCGCTGCGGATGGAAGCAGGGCTGAGAGGACTTTTGCGACGAGAGACTCAGGGAACGGATGCACGCGTGGGGGGGGGGGTGGAATATCACGTGATCGAACACTCTGGGCGTTTGAGTAAAATACCGTGTCACCGTTTAATAAATATAAAATGCTTACAGTTGAGAAGTCTATGAACTAGCGGTGGATGAAAAGTCTTAATTCACTTGCGCGGTTCGATATTATTGATCGAGAGTCGGCCTCGTGAATGTAGATGCCCGTGAGCCGTGTCCACGCGGCGCCGGCGTGCGATGCGTGGTGAGCCTGAGCTGCCGTTGATGCTGTATCTAGAAATGTCCTGGATGATTCGCACTGCTGAGAGTTCACTACGTGTCCGCACTGAGTCTATTCTTCGATGTGAAAATGAGAAAGTCCACAAAAGAGCACTTGATAACTATCCGCACTTCAAGACGCGTGTACTACGTACGGTCGCTATGAGACAAAGAGCGCCGGTAACGTACGTGAAGTCGCGCGGTCGCCTCGCGTCGCGATCGGGCATGCGCGAGCAGCGCTCATGCGGCGCTGCACGATCTGACCCGGCTGATGCTGCCATCACGCCGGGGATGAAATAAACGAGATTCAAATTAATGTCGAACATAGAGAGAGAACTCGAATTCAGACAATTATCAGACCCTATTATAGCAGAAAAGTGCAAAAAACTAGAATTAGAGGAAGATAAAAAATTCGCGTTGGTAGATGGACTAGTCTATTACAAGGAAGACGAAAATTTGAGATTTGTTATACCTGAGCAAATGATTCCAAGTGTTATCCGAGCACACCACGACGACATGGCACATTGCGGTGCCGAAAAGGTCCTAAAAGGCATAAAAAAGAATTTTTGGTTTCCTTCAATGAATAAAAAAGTGTATCAATATATAGAAAATTGTCTTACCTGTCTTATGGCGAATAGTTCTATGAATCGCTTCGAAGGAGAGATGCAAATAGTATCTCCACCAAAGAAACCCCTTGAAGCTTGGCACGTGGATCATTTTGGTCCGCTGCAAGAAACGACTGATCATTACAAACACATACTGTTAATAGTAGATGCATTCACCCGATACACATGGTTATTTGCAACAAAATCTACGAGTACCAAAGAAACGATTGATAAACTAAAACAAGTAATAAATATGTTCGGTCCACCCATACAAATAATCTCTGATAGAGGTACAGCGTTTACCTCACAAGAATTTGCAGTTTTCATAGAACAATTCAAAGTAAAACACCGCCAAGTAGCAGTAGCAGCCCCGTGGGCGAACGGAATCGTAGAAAGAGTAAACCGATTCTTAAGAACGTCGTTAACTAAATTGATAGAAAATGCGAACGATTGGAAATCACAATTAAACAAAATACAATATGTAATTAATAACACCCACCACTCAGTAACAAAAACAAGTCCCTCGATGTTAATGTTCGGCTACGAACAACGGAACCACGTTGATTTCCAACTTGCGCAATTTACGAAAGCGATAGTAGAAATAGACAGCGATATAGAAAAATTAAGAAACGATAGTCGCGATACGGTTGAAAAAGCCAATCATTTAATACAACAATGCAACAAGAAATATTACGATAAAAAACACAAGACACCGACGAAATACGCGATAGGAGACTATGTATTAATACGCAATACGGCAAACAAACCGGGACAAAGCGCCAAATTAAAACCGAACTATAAAGGCCCATATGTAGTTGCGCGGGCATTAAGAAATAATAGATATGTAATACAGGACATACCGGGATTCAACCATAACCCAAAACCCTATAATACGATCCTATCCACGGACAGAATAAAACCATGGATAAAACCGATCCCGACACCCGAAATATAGAGAAATTGTAACTAGATACGTACCTGAGCGTAGCCGAAATCAGCTGTGGGACACAGCTGAGAAGCAGGATGGCCGAACTGTAAGATCGGTAGGGTTCGTCCAACACGAACACACACAAATCGAGCCGAGCGCGCCAAGCAACGTCAGGCACCGAGCACGTGAAAACGCTCGAGAATATTCGGCAGGGCGAACGACGCGACGGTCGAGAGCGCGAAACTCACGACACTCGGCAAGTAGACACGCGAGCGATAACACGTAAAGCGTACCGAGACTTATTGTTAGAGTAGAGCCTATCCTATTTTGGTCAAATATACAGTCAATCTTATATAGTAAGTGACAGTGTAATTATTCCGACTACACCCTCATTTGAACGTAAACCACCTTACAATAGTGACACGTTGGGAACACATACTGGGTCTATCTTTTATGTCTATGCAACTTGCCACCTTCTGTCATACCGACGATTTGTAGCGACACAACATGGGTTGCGTGGTGGGGTGGGAGAGGGGAAGGGGGCGGGGGTGGGCAGGGTGGGGCGGGGGTGGGGCGGGCTGCGGGA